GCCGGAGGTGAGTCGGCCAACAGTCGAGAGATGCGTTGCACAGACTCGGATCATGAGGCGGAACAACATGAGACACGAAACCCTTGCCATTTGCAGACATTTCCAAGTTTGACCTATGACCAAACAGCGCCGAGTGCTCGTTGCGTGGACACAGAGCAATACAACATTCCAAAGCGGCAACAGCTTTCCTCCAATATTGGCCAAAACAGAGTTCTTGTTTGAACACATACCACCAGCATGAAGTTTTGCGTTTTGGGCTGCCAGCTGTGTTGATGCAACTTGGTTTGCAAGTCCTTTCAACTCCCGCAAAGACCGGTGAGTGAAACCGAGCCTCGCAAGCAAGTGCTCATTTTCGTGGGGTCCTTGGCTCATAAGCGCTGGAGCGCCGAGTGAGGCCGTAAGGAGTGAACCGACTGCTTCAAAGTGAAGGTTCGGAGGTTTCCCTTTGAGCTAGAGGGAAATTTTGAGGATGTCACTGTAGACCCCTGAGACCATCCACCCCGCTGGAAGACCACTTGCACTTCATGGCATCACGGTTCCAGCAATGAGGCCGGGGAGCCACCTGCTCCGAGAGTGCCACATGGGATTTTTGGGACCGCACGAAGTGCGAGCAGAATTGTATGCAAACTTCCCGTCAAAAAAGTCCTCCTGAAAACAGGCTGCTTGGGTCTTGGGCATCACCTTAAAGGTGATTCAATCCACCACGCGCCACAGCCGCAAAACAACAGCAAGAAAACGGAAGAATCACAGCCACCCAAAGCGCGCCGTGCTGCGAGTTTCTCTTCCATGAGCCCATGCCGCCCCGCTGCCTTGCTGACCCTGGTCGCACCTGCAGGGCTGGGGCCCCGAAGAAATTTTTGTGGGGGAAGCCTTGCAGGGCGCTTGGCGAGGGTGAGCTTCGAAGAAGACTCGTCATGACCCCGGGGCTCTGGCCTTCCAGTCGAGTTTCTCACTTGCGGTAGGGAATTTTCCTGGTTTTGGGAGATGGGATCTGGAGAGGCGGAGCCACTCGTGTCGACCTGGGGGGGATGTTTCCATCTTTGGCCGGATTCATTCCAAGATCGAAGTTGCCCCATCCAGCTGGGCACCGGTTGTTCTGTTTCCTTTTCCGAGCACAGCAAAGGGTTGGTTTCCACTTTTGGATACCAGGCGCCCCAAAAAAAAGAAAAAACAACAACTCCCTTTGGACACCTAGGGTTTTCAATCCCCCTTTCACCTGGGGTCATTATTCAGACTTTTGTCTGTTTGTTATCAAATTCAGCCAACGGGGTGTTTCCCTTTCACCACTCGGGTGACTTTGGGCATCACGGGGCCAGTTCACAGGGCCTCGCCTGACCAACCAACCGGGCGCTCAGGTCGGAGCTCTTCGCGTCGCCTGCTGCGGCCACGCGGGCGCTGAACAGCTGCGTGCAGGCACGTGCTCCGAACGTGTTTCTCTGGTAGAAATGGGTGCCGCATCGTTGTTTTTTTTTTTTTTGGGGGGGGGTTTGCAGCGGCGCCCATGTCTTGGCGAACAAAGGGAAGAAACAGGAAACCAGTCATTTTGGGGGTCAAATCCAAATTCTGACGCATGCCCAAATTGTGATTTGCTATTTGTCCCAAAATCTCCTGGCATATCCTTAGTGAGAACGGATGTTTGCTGCTTGGTAGTCTCAAACGATTTCCTCTACCCCACCCCTAAACCAAAGGTGCAAAAAGGGGCTGAGCGGGAACGACGTCGCACAGGGTATGCAGCTCATGTTCCCCGGGGCTGTGCCCAAAATTCGAGTTCTCCTTTCGAAGCTTTCGAAGTGGTCCTGCACCACTTCACGCTTGCATCACATTGGGTTTTAGGGTGGCATTCAAAGGCCTTTGGCCCATCCCTTCGAAAGGATGAAGCCGTATAGTCAGCGAGAAGGGTCAAGCTTGACCCTGGAGCTTGCGGAAAGTTGAAGCTTTTGCAAGTCAGAAATGAAGCTAAGCATTTGCATGCGGGTAACGCAACCCCGGAAAATTGTGGATTTCGCTTTGATTGCTCGTTACAGCAACCCACAAAGGGTACCCGCAACAAGAAACACGTGCCCATGTCAGCACCTGCAAAAAGTGGGGAGTTTGGGAAGTGACGAACGCGAGCAACTGACCGAGTTGCATGTTGGGAGTGGGTGGATGGATTGGTCAGAACTCAAAGGGTCTGGGTGGCTTCGTCGATGTGGAAGTGTCACAGATGATCTGGATATGTTGTTGAGGGCGCCCTTTCCAGTTAAAGGGGAAACCACATGAACACTCATGTTGAAGGTTCTCGCATGTGGAGAGACACCTATGGCCTCTGCCCACAGAGATTCCGATTTGTGCCAGGGCTCAAGCACTCAGCTTCCACATTCCACAAGGTCTTCTGAAGGACTAGGGTTCATTCATGCAAGGTACAGGCTACAAACAGTTCGCCCAAGGGCATGTTGAGGAATGTGTTTTGGTAAGGCTTCGAACGGCTGAACAAAGCGGTATGTACTAGCCTTTGCCCATACCTCCAAAACCTACTATATCCCAAGCCGGATATGTCTTTTTGGAAACACCCACCCCGCCGCACAAAAAACAAAAACAAATTGTTGCCGAAGATCCCCTCGGGCCTGGGCCCGGCGAGTCCCAGGATGGCCGGCCAATTTTGGAGGAACATGCGCTGAGACTTGGTTGGATCTGAGTGGGGAAGGTGGGGCTCTGAGCTGAACCAAAGTTTGTGAACATGGGCTCAGCATCATACTGCAGCTTGCTTGTTTCCATAAGCATCGTTGCAGCCAGACGAAGATTGCGAGGGCCCATTGTTCCATTTTTTGTGTGGTTCCCGGAAGGTTCTCCGTTCACAAGCCGGGAGCAGCCGTGCTGTTGGAATTCGGGCGGTTTGGCCTGGAGGGCCCGTGACCTAAAGACGTGCCCGGGAACTGCTCAAAGACGAGACAAGCAACACCTGGGCAAATGGAGGTTAGGTCGAAATGCACCCGTGATGAGGTGCCCGCCCTTTTAATTCACGTGGTTTTGGGTACAGCCCTTTTAGTGTGGGGTTCTGATTGTGACTCAATTCGTGGCTGGAGCATGCAACTCCCGGCTAGTTTTGGGTCGCACAAAGCCCGCTCCCTTGTGGAGCAACCCCTTGTCTCGGACTTGAACAAAACGAAGAAACATCGGAAGTTGAGCAAAGATGGGCAAAGAGTCTTGGAAGACCTGGCGTGCAATCTCCTGTCCCGGAATATTCTCGGAAAGTGAGCCAGCAGTGGTCACTTGAGGTACCGTCTATGCTCCGTTTGGACGGGACGCCGGGCAAAAGGCTCACCGAATTTCTCGCATGGCAACCACATGCCCGTGGACCGTGGTTCAACTTTTTTTGGGACGGATGGGACACGGGGGCTCTTTCCCGCAAGCCGGATTCCGGCCGGTCGAGGACCACTTTCGCAGCGACAGAGGTTGAGGCAGGGTACCGTTTGACCTTCAGCAGCGAAATTTGGCTTTGTGGGCTTCCTTGCGGGCTTGGTAGAAAGACTATGCTTTAAATGTCTGTTTACATGTTCAAACCAGATTTACAGGGGCGGGCCCTGGCGTTTGAGACTGATGCGGGAGGTCTGATGGCACCATTGCCTGGTAACCGCATGGGATTTGCGTTGTCCAAAAGTCAGGGCCTTGTTTCTCTTGCTTGGCTTCTCAAAACCAAGCCTCATATTCCCTTTCCTCTTTTGACGTACTTGTTGCTTCCGCATCCTTGACACGGAGGTTAAACCGGTTGCAAAGCAACATATTTTCAGAGCCAAACAGCGGCCCGCTTGCCAAGGGTAATTTTGGTTTGATACACGAGAAACCCAACCAATTCATAGCCCTAACAGTAGACCAAACAATCAGCTGACAATACGGGCATGGCTTTCTTTCGTTTGATATTCAGAGGATCGACGGCACGGGAGAAATTGCTGGACCGACTCCAACTTGTTTCTCACATGCAGGTCGGGAAGTTTGGATTTGAACTAGCCAGGCGTTCTCGGAGCATTGTGATGCCTTTTAAAGATGCACCGACGTGCCAGGTGTCATTGAAACTCTGAAGCCACGCCCGCCTGCAGTTCGCGAGTACGTTAGGAGTTGTATCATTCACAAACATGTTTCTTCTCTGCGACCTCTACAATGCTTGAATGTCTTCAGAATTGTCATAGAACATCTCTCTCTCTCTCTCGCTCTCTCTGTTTATTGTTACATATATATATATATATATACACATAAATATCTATTGCTTTTGGCAGCTTTACAAAGGCTTACGACCTGGAATCGTCATTTGAAAGATGTCGAAGGCGCACCTGTATCCTTGGTTTCGCTTTTGGGTTTTGGTCGGGATACCCAAAGGTTCCCCTCAAGTGGTTTAGGGCCTTGCCCTCGAGTTGATTGCGCTCCGCATGTTGTTTTTACCCACTTTGCGGGTGTCAGAGGACCATCAGAGTTCAACAACGTGTTTCGAACAAAGATGTGAGCTTGCAACTTTATGAAGTCCAAACAGCCAATCCCAAGCGCCATCTGTGGATGTTGAGAAGAGGGGGAGCAAGTGTAGTTAATCCTAGAAACGGGTGGACATCAACATCATTGATCATTCATGTCCACTCAAATGAGGTGGTGCCAACTCCTACAAAACAACAAAGCCACATCATCCCTTCAACCACCTCCTTTTCTTCTTCCTTTGCAAGGGCCTCTCAACTGGACCCCTGTTCCTTAGCCCCCGTCTCTCATTGGCCGCGTCCCGGGCCGCCGGGTCCCGGGCCCCCCAATGGGTCCCGCGGGTTTCGGAGGCTCCGCGGACGCTGGCCACCATGGCCCGGGCGGCGGCGTGCGCCAGCTGGCTGGCCCTGGCCTGCGCCGCGGAGCCGCTGGGCATCGAGGCGCGGGATGGCGGAGGGACGCGGGATGGACGCGGAGGGATGGGCGGATCGAGTCGTCAGAGGAGGGTGCAGGTCCATGGATCGATCTCATGGGGGTTGAGTGGCCGCTACCTGGCGCTAAAG